CAGTTTCTGAATCATTGGTTGTTCCGTTGCATCAGGCTGGCAATGAGAAGCGTCCTGCCGGCCAGTCCACAGTGGCGCCTGGTACCTGAAGCGCCTCCTCGAGCGACGTGACAGAAGCATTTCCGGCGGATGAGATGAAGCTCGTGTCAGGGAAGTTGAAGATGAAACCAACGGGCACGGTCAATCGCAAGACGCCTGGGTGTCAACAAAGGCCAGGTCTGCATGCAAATGCAAGAAGCTCGCACACAATCACTTACGACCGAGTTGCTGCTAAGATAAATTCCGCCGAGGCGGAAGAGCAGGTGCAGTACTGCTTCCTTTCCGGTCAACTCGCGAGGCTTCAGGTCAGAGATGTGAACTTGAATTGAAGCTACTTCTCGGTAGTAGAGCTGGTAGGAGCCACCATTTGCAGAGGACATTGCGACACTGCCATCCATCCGCCCTGCAGCCGCTTGTGTAAAGAGTGACCAGTCACCGTTTGCCGCGAAGCCGAGAATCGGCGGAACCACCCGGATCTGCCATCCGTACGCTTCACCACCGAAGAGGCGCTCTTCCAAACTCACCCGAGCTGCATCAAAGCCGCGGAAGGCCTCGCTCTGCTGATTCTGCTGCCCGGCACAGCTCAGAAACGGAAGGCGCCGCGTCACCTCTCCTGCCCTGCCTTTCGAATAGTAGTGGCCGCCCAAAGGGAGGTCCGAGACATCACAGGCGATACCGAAGTCGAAATCAGGAGGAGCCTGGAGCACAACCGTGCCACCTGCGGGGAGCATCTGTGCCGTTCGGAAGAAAACTTGGAGTATGGTGCCAGCGAGGGAAGCATCACCTTGCAGCGAAGAGGGCAGCGTGGGCTGATAGCTCTGCGGTTGCAGCGAGACAGCCGAAAGACGGCCCAGAACGGCAATAGAGGCTGTGTAGTTTGCCCCAAACAGCTGCTCAGATACTTGGAATGCATCGGAGACGTTTTTGCTGCGTCGGGTAAAAGGCGAGGAGCCCATGGATTCGAGACCGAGATGCCAAACGTTCATCGGATCATCGCTCGGAAGGGGGCTTGTGGGGTTCCGAACTCTAAGCCGAACCATGAAGGAGGTGCCCGCAAAAATGGCGAATCCGGCACGAAGGTTGAAGAAGCAGCTTCGTGATCCGCTGCTCCAACCATCTTCCTGGAGACTGCCTAGTAGGCTTCCTGACAACATCTCACCACCAAACGCGGCATGAAGGGGAGAGAGAACGGCATGACCACTGTCCTTGATCGACGAGGGCCGCGATCGCTTCCGGAACCTCCGCGGCAGAGCATCTGTAGCCCGCAGGGGTCTGAATTTCCAGTGTCGCGGCCTTGGCGGCATGACCACTCTTCGCCCTACCGGCGTCCATAATCGACAAAGAGCACAGAACTGCAAGATACTGCAAGCAAGCTGCGAAGTCCGCGAACTCGCTCAGCAAAGTTGCTCCCAAGCGTATCTTCACGTAGAGGGTATTGCCTTGAAGGAGCTCGACAACAACTTATGGGCAGGTTGTGAACAAGATGAAAGGAATGATAGTTGTTCCATAAAGCCTGCCGAATCTCCGACCTGACAAGCAACTTTCTTGCGCTTGGAAAGGCCGTTCGTTTCCTGCGGTGCTGAGCAAACCAGCCACGGCAGTGGGGCTCCTGCGAGGCAAGCCCTCGAGTAAGTCCGACAAGACATCGCTGATACTGCAAACCTTGGCCAAGCCCAGTCTCCTGTAAATGAAATCACCAGAAGAAGCACCTCAGCTTCGTGACAAGCAATGCCGACTCGCGGATCCTGCAGATCAACCCACTGTGAAATTCAGAAAATGCCGTAGAACTTAGACTTAGGCACTGTAGGTCGGAGCCACATCACTGGGTAAGCTGATCTGTATTCCGCAGCGTCCCGCGAACAGCCCTCCTGCAGGTGGTGCCAGGTTGGAGATCTCGAAGATGTTCTGGATGGCCCCGTAAATATCGGCCAAATCCTTGCCGGCGAAGTCTCCAGACTCGTCTCTCAAACAGCATGCGACAAGCATGAAAAGTGAAGATGCAGTTGAGGATCACTCGGCAGCGTCATCTTTACCTGAGCAAGTAGGATGATGCAGGATGTATGATGTCGCGGACGGGTGCAACTCACAAAGCCCTCGCCAGTGAGCCAGCCCTTGCATGATTCTGGCAGGAAGGTTGCAATGGAATCTCACAGAAGTCTCCCCGCAGGCTAAATCCGATCCGAGGCACGGCATTGGGTCGAGTCCAAGTCGTGCTTACCGCAAAACTGCTGCAATACATCTCCGCTTGGCCACAGAAGCCATTGTGATCAATGCACTTGGCATCGCACTCGCCCGTTCGGAGGTGCCATCCTAAGGTTCTCAGAGCTGTGCAGTCACACAGCGCTCAGCTTCATGAGTCAGCTGAGTGTCCCATGAGGGGCCACAGGAAGAGTCTCAGATGACTGGAAGCTGAGATTGCTCGAAGCGCACTGCTCGCTTGCGGCTGCAAGCGCAAAGTAGCGAGCCCAGATCCCAAATCCAGAATTCCTCAGCAACGTACCATGTTGAAGGTCTCGGGCGTCGTGTCTTTGCAGAGCCAAGCCGCCGTTTGCACCCCCAAGGATGGGACAGTTTTGCCTCAAGTCCGGGAGGGCAGAGTTAGTGAGACATGCAACACTCACTGGAAAGATCATCCTGAAAGCCACGCGGCAAGTCTGGTTCACCAGCCGCTGCTGCTGGCTCCTACAACTTGTTGCGACTTCAGCTGATGTGTCGTTCCCACTTTTTGGACCAGGATGTGTTTAATTTCATGCATGAGCCGCGTTAAGCTCTGGCCTGAGGGCTGCTCTGAAGACGGCAGCGGCCACGCTCGGCCACATGGAAAGGCTTGTGCTCCAGATTGTCCAAAACCTGGATGTCGCCATTACATTGACGAGTCAGACCCGACCAGAGTTCGACATGTGGCAATAAACTGCTTCGAAACTATGACGGTTGTTTCTTGGGTGCTGCGCATCAAGAGCCGTGTTCCGAGATGAAACGATACTTGCATTGGTCTATCCGGACCAGACGAGGTGCAAGTATTCGAAGTACTTCGTCCCTGAGATCGAGGCAGCGGGGAATACTGTGACAGCCGCGAGACTGCTGTAGACGTTTTGCTACGCGATTCCGGCAAGCAGCCCTTTCTGTGCCAATTGCCCGATCACACCGTTCAAGACCATGTGGTACCGCTGCTGCGGCTTCAACATGACACCACTGCGAAACACCAGGCCAACAGCCCATGAGTCTGCAGTCCTGGGTTGGAGACTGCCGAGAAAAGCAACCCTTGTGCATGCCTGCAAGCGCAGTACAGGCATGCGGCATGAGCTGTCAAACTTCAACCCATGCCAAACCTCTTCGCTAGCATGGGAATCTAAGTTCCGCAATGATCCTCAATTTTATGGAAGCTTCGCACGCTGCAAGTAACACCCGTGAGGCAGTGGAAAGCCATCCACCTCGTCTGATGCGATCTCCTTCAGCACGGGAATCATTTCCCCCTTTAGCAGTGTTGGCCGGCCTCTCAAACCAGCCTTGAAGAGAAAGCCGCACCATGTCTGCTTCGACCCGTCGGCAGAATTCTCGCCAGCAAGCTCTTCCATGACGTCGGTATCGTCTGTTGCTCGTCCTGCATATCAAAAATTGCCACCATTGCTGTGGCAAGAACTCGACAAGAATGACAATGGGTCTGCTCTGTATCTGCAAACTTGCTGCAGGGAGTCGAAGACCCAGCAGTGACGCGGTCGGAAACTCCAGGCCTCAGGCTGCGAAATTCTCCCTCAAGGGCACGTGCGTCAGAGGCACGACCAGCTTGCAACAATGCGCCAGCAAGAAACCAATGGCTGGGCGAATCGCGCATTTGGCTTACCTCGCCGTCCTCCTTGCCAAGGTCCGTTGTGCGGTACGTGATCAAGACCTGATGCGAGTTCGGGTGACGTGAGTGCAAATTGAGGCAGGGACCGGATATGGTAGGGTGACGACCGGGGCAGCTTGATGTCTCCCGGTGGCCGTCAGGAAAATCTGACAATCTGCTTCGGCTGGCTCCTCCACGGTGAGACTGCCAGCCATCACAGATGGCCCGTTCCAAGGCCTCCAGCAGACCTGAAGAGGCTCGCGGTCGCGGATGGTCGCAGCATGTCCCATCTCCTCTCACCCAACTTCGCCTTCCGCCCAGCAAAACCCCAAGAGCCGAGGCCCGTGCAGGCAGTTCACTGGCACGTGTCGCCCGAAGCTCCCTGGCTGTTTCCGCCTGACTATGCCGAGTCCACTGTCCGGCACCGGAGATCCTGAGCCGAGCGCATAATGCATTGACAAGTTCAGCAACACTAGCCTCGGCAAAAGGTCGTCCAAGGGTCTCGAATACGGGGAGGCGTGAAGAAGGCCATAGAGCATCCAGCACGAAAGTCTGCTCATCGGGAGTGGATGTGGCTGTCCTGCACTAGATGTGAAGCATTGTGAAACGCATTCTCAGCCCGCTGTACCGCCGTCTAGTTCTTGTGATGCAGTCGGAGCCTTCCCACAAGATAATGTGAATCGCCGGAGAAACCACTGAAGTCATGATCACCTGCTCCACTTGACGATCCCGCAGCAGCCAGGACGCCTTCCCAAGATCTTGCACAAGGCAAAAGGCGTGGCAGAGATGCGAGAGGAGCCCGAAAGATATGGACAGCAAGCTAGGACTAGAGGAAGCCTGCAGCATCCTGCAGCCCACACGGCATGACTACGAACGTTGTGGTTAGTGGCTTCGCGCCACTGCACGCCTCGGAGTTCTTCTTCATCTTCGACAGAGCAAGCCCCGTTTGCAAGGCTTGCCGCGGAGCAGGCAGCCTGCTCACCCAGGCTCAACACATCCCCGGTCAACAGCCCGGGTGCAGAGCTGAAGGTCACGAAAGTCCCAGTTTCGCGAACCTGAGTGTCACAAGCACAAAGGCCTTCAAACTACCTCAACTACCGGCTCAGGCAGGAACCTCGACCGCTTCAACAAAAACGTCCGGACAAAGACCAAGATCTTCCGCTGCTCCACCACAAGGAACGCTGCTGTCGCTCAGAACATGGAGAAGTATACCGTCACTCGAATTGCTCTCAAGACCCCCAGCTTCGCTGCAGTTCCTGGGGCAACTTCGCAAAACGGAGTCTTCCACTCTGAGCACATCTTCCGTGCAAGACGCCCCTGGCTGCAGGATCAAGATCCGATCCGTTTCTACAAGGCCCCATCCCAGAAGCTGCAGACTGAATACCACATCTGAGCTTACGGTCCAGTGCTGATATGAGGTGAGGTCCTGAAGAACTTTAGGACCTCGCACTGTCAAGTGCGTCAACAACCTCCAGAATCCGTGTGCGCAGCCTCCTTCCTCGACTCCACAGTAGCAAACTGCCACGCGCCCTGGCCGTAGAAACATCATGCCTTCATTGTCGCCACCACTGAATGCCAGGTGGGAAGAGTTCGCCAAGTCTTGCTCGCCTCGGAATCTTTCCTGAATCGCGGCCTCGTCTAGCTCCGACGAGCTGTTGGAAATTGCGAGCAGGAAGAATTCAGGAGAGGACTGGTTCAAAAACGAAGCATACGGTATGCTACCACATTCCTGGTCAAGCACCTGATGCCCATCGTCCCCAAGAAGCTTCAAGTAGGCCTGCCGTGTACCTGCTGATGGAATGGACTCCGGCGGAGGCTGAAAAGAGACTGGAGCCTCCACCGACCTCTGCAGGCGCACTGCGCCCGCTCTGCGCGGAACTTGCAGCAGGAGGCTCGCACCAAGCAAGCGCAACGGAACAATGGACATCTCGCCAACTTTGAAATAGCTCGGGACAGTGAGCCTACTCCTGCAGTCGTATAAGCAGAAGCAGATATCCAAATAGAACGCAGAGTGGAAAGCTCTTTGGCCATGCAAAGGTCGATTCCCCAGAAACTGGAAAGGACCCTCTGGTCCTTCTCCGAAGCGTTTTAGATCCTGGCGAATGCCCCCGGAGACCGTGCAGTGTGATGGATCCAAGCAATTGGGTGGCTGCGTCTGCAAGGGCGATTGCAAAGCTGTCCGGCAGCCCGTGCTGGTATCCCAGCTGGCGCGGAAATTATCTGGCGATGGAGATGTGAGTTTCACGCGGGATCCAGTCGGGTCCGGAACCGACTTGCACACATCGGCAGGGCAAAGCACATGTATTTGAATCGGATAGAACGCAGCTGCTGACGAGAATGACCCGGCACATGCAGCCCCCACATGTTCCGCATCTCCGGAGTGTAAACAAAGAAATGCAGCGAAAAAGTGCACGACGCCCACTTCTTGAACGAAGAACTCTGGCTCCAAACAGTTTCCAACAATAGGACACAAGCACACGGCAATTGTGTAGGCTTTGAAGGACTCATTTGCCAAATCGCCACGTGCGCGAGGAAGGGATGCAAGCGCCTGGCTGTTGAGTGGGACAGAGTCGTCTCCCAGGTCGCAGCGATCTGCATTCAAGCACAGAAAGGCTTCTGTCTCTTGAGACCGGCTCTGACAGCTGAAGTTTTCGACAGCCGAGACAGTACCGTCGGAGCCATGGGTGATCTCCCATGGATCAGACCACGATATTCGCATCTGGTCAACAGTTCCCAGTACTCCCTGCTCCGAAGACTCTGCTCGGTCGAATGTTACCTGACAAGCACCCGCGGGACTGTAGGAACCTTGAAGGATGTGACAATACTGAAAACGCTCAGATAGACATGCTGATCCGCCACAAGCGAAGTCGTATGCACCCCGCACTCGTATCGTGATGGGAACCAAGTCGACACGACCACCCAACCCAAACATCGCATCCTCAGTAAAGCAAAGAGAGTAGTCACCGCCTTCCTTGAAAATCAAAGGCATATGCATGGATAAAGGATGTAGGTTACCACTTTGCGCAGCGGCATCCACACCTCCATCTGCCCATATCGCCGGCAGCAGTCGAAGGTACGTGCCCGAATGCACAAATGATGTCTCCTCAACACAAGCCCCGGCTCTTGCCGATCGCGTGGTGAGCTGGCCTCTAGCAATGAGTAACTGCGGCTGAATCCCCCAGTCATAATCCACATCTGGAGATTGGAGCTGCAGCATCAGAACCGGCAACCCTGCTGGAATCGAGACCTCGCTGCAGCTCGAACTATCGCACGTCTGGTTCTCGGCCATACCAGGAGCAAACTCCACCAGCAGGCTGACACGAGATGGTAGGATGGGAGGTTGAGAGGAACTGGTGGTAGTGGTTGAGAGCCGAGTCGTGGAAGTGATGCTTGTTGTGCTGTGGGATCGCGTAGAGCTGGAACTGCTGGTGACGCTCAAGGTGCAGGAGGTGCTGGTTGATGTGACAGTCTCAGTCTGCGTCTGTGCTTGCGCACCAGTCTTGCGGATGGCGTTCTCCCCGTTGCTGGCATGGAGCTCGAACCAAGGGATATCTAGGCGCAAGATCCAGAGGCCAACCAGCCACTTCACGGTGCGACCGACTCTGAAGCATCCCATCCTCAGACGATTTCCCCACCTCCCGGTCAGTGTGACGTACGCTTCAAGAAGCTGAGTCTCTGACCATGCCGAACAGTTGGGCGCAAACGCCAACTAGCATGGCCATGGCCAAGATAGTGCCAACATCTCTGTACCCCTTCCCCTGCACACGTTTAGTAGCTTGCCTGTTTGATGCCTGCGGCATTGCAACACCTCACCCGTATTTGCTTAACTTCTCCACAGCTCATGGGATGCAAACCATTATATTCATGAAAGACAGCTTGGCGATGTGGTGTGATGAGAGGAAGCGGCTAAGCTTGTGGTTCGACGGCTGCAAAAAAACCTTTCGTGCACAATGACACCTCAAAAACTACAGCAGCATGGTTAACCGGTTAACCGGCCCAAGCAAGACATTTGAGGACGACCAGCCTTAAGCACACCAAGAAATTGTGCTAGCGTCGCATGGACTGTTCGCCAGTGCAGTGGATGAGCCTTTCAGCTTGCCGAGATGCGACGCCGAAACCCGGTTCTCACGCCCATGCGGCAACTTCATATTTGAGCGTTGCTTGCACCAGCAGAAAAGAAACTTTGCCATTCTCGGTGCCGCAAACATCGTCAGCGTTGACGAGCTGTCGCCTGTACCGTGTTACGCACGGGCGCAAAGAACCGCATGGTCACGACTCGAGCAGAATTCTGCTTGAACCTGCACTCCGCATCTCTGCGCTATTGGCACTGTCAGCTTCCGTTGGCCTTCTGCGGCATCGCTGCGCAATCAGAACCAAGAGAACTAGTGTGGCTGCGAATGCCGAGACTAGTCCCACTGCCCAAAGGCTTGCATTAGCAGAGCCTGGGCGAGGGGGAGGTGGATCTCTGTATGGATTGTGGATCCAAACACTGTCATCCGCACTTCGCTGTGCGAGGGGCATGCGCCAGGCAGAGTCTTCATTGAAAGTTGCACCTGCCTGCTCCAGCTCTGCCGCACGTCTTGCTGCATCCTCCTTGTTCAATGCTGGTAGCTGCGTGGCATCATTTGTCTGCCATTCCCACAGCATGTGAGTCTTGTTGACAATCGAAAAGCGTCCATGCCCAAAGTCCAGGCCATTGCGAAAAGCTGACCATCCTGGTTGATGCATATAGTCTTTGGCATGTCCCTCTCTGTTTCCCCCATCGCCGACAACAATGTAGGTTGGGGCCCCGGGTTGCGTGACGTTCTTGTACACAGGGTGGGTCCTCTCATAAGCATGCACATGACCACTTATCACAACTGCCGCTCCATGCGCATGCAAGAGATCTTCGAATCCATGTGCATCCCTCATCTCGATGGCCTGGCGTTCAGACTGATGAGCCACGTTGGAGCTGTAGAAAGGACAGTGCATCATTACGATCAGCCACGGTGTTGCAGCCCTTCTTCTTGCTAGAGCTTCCAGCTCCTCTTTGAGCCAGTTGTATTGTGCTGACTGCGGTCCGGTGTCAGTGTAGCTGTTCAACGAAATAACCCTGGCTGGACCGGCGTCGACGGCATAAAAGGAGTTTCCCCAATCGTAGGTACCAGAAAAAATCGACGGAGTGCAGTCAGCCCCTGGGTGCGACCCCCTCGGCCAGGGACTCTGGCAGCCAATCTGCGTCTTGGACGGACGCGACTCTGCAGGCTGCACTGCTGGCATTGCGAACCGTGACTCATACGCCTTGAAGCTCTCTCCTGTATAGTAATCACTCTCAATTTCGTGATTACCCGGACACACCATCCACTGCAAACGTGATGATAGCGGCTCCACCTTTAGACCGTACGAATCCCATCTCCGTGACTCTGTGTCAGCATATGCCATGTCACCTGCATGAAGTATAATTTGCAAACTGCGGTCGGCATCCAGGTGTCGAACCGTCTCCTCTGAATCAGCAGTCTGGCCCAAGTCGCCGATCACACCGAGAACGAAGGGAAATCGTGGGTCTGACGGCGAATTGGGCTGCTCGGATGCCGGTAGAGTTTTGAAGCTGCGTGTAGTGGCGGGGAGATCTCCGTGCAAAGTGTAAGCGTACTTGCTACCTGCAACAAGCCCGTTGACCTGCACACGGTGGATCCGTCCAGATGTGTAGTTCCCAAACAGGCCAGGCGCTGATCCCAAAGAATAGCGCGAGCACGTCCCAACGACCTGAAGGCTGTGAACTGATGGCTGAGCCGACTCGATAGGACCTCGGACTTCGGCCACAGCGACTTGTGAACAGGAGACCAAGTCGTCTCGGTCGTCATCCGTGAGCCATGTTATAAGCACAGTACTGTCTGCAGAGCTCCCTGCTGCGAGAGAAACCTGTCTTGGAGTCCAGGCATCTGATGGCCAAGCTAGCCATGACCAAAGAAGACGTTTCATTGCACAGGCTCAAAGGACAAAGATGGAGAAAATGCCTTGCAGCTGACGACGATATATGATAAATACCCCCGAGACTACGGGAAAACTACCAGGCATGGGCTGACAAAGCTGTAGCATGCGGTAGCATTCGCCTGCTCGTGACGCAAAGCATGGATTTCTGAAAGGACTCCCACAAACTGACGTCCCTGGTTTTTCGTGACAGTCGGGGACATGACACTGGACTTACACTTGTGAGCACGTCGGGGGCGATATTTCTTCTTTGTGCCTGCGCCGGTCCCATGCACAGCCGGTCGATGCACAGCTCACCGCAAAAGTCCACAGTTCAGTGCAGAAGGAGGTCATTTGTAGACCATGGAACCATTCATTATCCCGGAGCATTTAAAGTTCTCAATTGACAGCCGGGTTGGACAACATCATGACGCTGCGGAGTTTGCTTTCACAGTAGTTCACGGCGCTTGTGGATCACAGTTGTCAAGCCCAGCAATTTCTACCGACTACTGCAGGAAGAGAGAAGCCGACTTCTTCGAAGGAGCAACGAAGCCAGCCGTGCAGCATGTCAACCTCAGCAGTCATCAGGTGAGGTTCGCAGCCTGTACAGATCGCCCGGGTGCAGGCACTGGCACTTCCAAGTGCAGAGCTGACAGTGCGTCGCCGCCCAGGGGCTGGTGCACCAGCTGGATCGGCTTCTGAATCCGCGGCACTGCTCGTCCTGTAAGCAGATCAGACCTCAGGCTGCACATGGCTGCACGCTGTGGCCAGGCTGTCGCCATACGCAATGTGCAAGAAGGGGCATGCTAAGAACCTCCGAGGAGGACGCAGGCGCTGGTGTTCACAAGACGAGATGGCCTCAAGTAGTTGGGCTTCAGGCTTCTTGGAACGGATGTTTATTCAGAAGGAATACAGTGCACCAAGCGACCACGAGGGGTCATAGTTATCTGAGTAGCGACCTGGCCAGCGACTGTGGAAGCAGCCGTGTCTTTCGTGTCAGCTGCACCGCGTCCGACGCAAGCAAAGTAAAGTGCGCAGGCAGCGCTCTGACAGCGAGACTCTTCGCACGTCTGTGGCTCCAGCAGCCCTGCACGACAGCACCTCGACACAGAATCGAGCCGAGTCAAGAACAGCCATTCTGCGAACATCATCTGCATGAGTCATGGTGGTCCGGGTGGTCACGGTTTCAGTTGCGAGACTGTCTCGTCTCAGTTCAGACATTGCTGCTGGGCGCACACACACACACACACACATCACCCAATCCTCAGATATAGCGGCTCCAATCAAACCCCTGAAAAGGGTAGAAAATGCCTTCTCTCATGAAAAATGAGACTAAACTCTGCCATGGTGATCTCTTGCTGTGGGAAACACGTGCCGAAAACATTGGGAAACGCCGATGAGTACTGTATCTGCCAACCTCATGACATCACAAGCAGGTGCATTTTTGGCAACCGCGACTGATGGATCCGTTGGGCCCGCTCGTCCGAGTAATCAATAGTAATCACTGGGCTGCGTCGGACAGTCTGCATTCAGCTTGCGGTCGTAACTGCAGGGCGAACGAGGCTCCATGCATGCTCGGACGAAGGTGGACAAGTGCTAGATTCCTATATATCGGTGGGGTGCAAATACTGATGAGCCTGCTCGTGCTATGCTCCCGCGTCTTCTTGGCATCAACAGCTCGCACGGCGAATGACTTGTTTGCAGCTTTGGCGATGTACACGTGGGGACAGGGAAGATCCTTCAAGCTGCCACGTTTCAGTAAAAGCGAAAAGACTATGACATAGCACCACTGCAGTGCACATGACTGCAAAGAAGAAGAACATCAAAGACCTGTGGCAACAGGGACAGTGTAGGTTCATGAGGGAAGCATTAGCAGCATTTTGGAGTATCCTCACCAGCATCAAGAAGTACCTCTCGCCGCTTGCGCCTGGGGACCTGAAGGAGAAAGGTGAAATCTGTCCCCGACTCACTTTTTGGCACCTCTTGGCCTGTCCTGAACTCGAAACCCCGCCGGAACAGTCTGAACCTAATCCCTTCGAGAGCTCTTGCCCCCTTACCACGCGAAAATTGTGTGGCATGTGTTCAGGCCCAGAAGAACCCTGCCAGCAGTCCCAGCGAAGACTGACAAGCGCGTGACTTTCTCCATCATGTCACCCATACTATCACTGCCTTGTACATGCTCCATTACTGCTGCCGTCAATCCTTTCTGAGCTTCATGCGTCCAGCTACAGCTCACCTTCGCCCATCCGTTGTTGCACCAATCCTCGGTTCAACAAGGAAGGCCATGGTCGCGAACCAAAGACAGCCTTGCCTCAACCGACAGGTTGCCTCGGCAAGGCCTCTCGCATTCCGCTGTGCTCAAGGCAGCTCAGCTGAGTAATCGCTTAGCAAGCTGAGCCTGTTCCGAAGACACGGGGCGCATGCGGCAGCGTTCGCTCGCCCATTGCTCCAGCCTTCCAAGATCTTGTGCTCACATCGTATCTGATGTTCACAGCACGATGTGCTCGCTGTGTTGCATGGATTAGCAAGGTGTGCGCCTGAGTCCCAGGAGTCTGCACAGTGCGCATTGCACCGCTGTGCGGAAGAGTTTACACCTCGAAAACGTGTGCTCGCAGGTGGGCCGGGTGCCATTCCAGGAGACTTTCCTGCCTGGGCCGCTCCATGGGGCCTGCATCAAACGAAGGCTTCAGCGGCTACCAGTGCTGTCACGGTCATAAAACCGCCTGAACCGTTTGGAGCGCAGCAAGGAGTTCCCCACTGGCTGCTGGAGTTTGCCAGTCGGCAGCCAGCACGCCATAGTCTGAACAACACGACTCTAGCCGTCCCTCACCAAGAATCTGCAAGTCTTCTTCGGCGCACTCGTCGGGCCATGAAAAGGGTGTAGGTCATCTCGGCTCCAGGTGCCATCTCCATGCCAGACAGCCCAATCGAAGTCGCCCTGCTACGTCGTTGCTGCTGCACTGCAGTTCTACTTGCTATGTGCCTGGAGCAAGTATTGCAGGAAGTCGGGCCACCAGTTGGCGCACGAGTCCTATGCAGAGGCTATGCGGCGACAGCGATCAGAACAATGTCATGCTGCAGAAGGAAGTTTGAAGCCATCTAAAGCCTTGTGGCAGTCGCTGAAAGTGCCAAATTCACTGACCCAGACTGGTGCAGTGAATGGCCTCCCACATGCAAAGTGCCACATTGAGCGCAACTTTTTCTGAGCATCGGGCCTCTGTTCCTGGACGATGAATCCCCAGTCCTTGCCCAGCTGCCCATGTAATGCCTGCGAGCAAAAGACAGGAAGAAAAGAAGCCAACGCATACGAGGTACGAGGGATCATGCTCTCGAAAGGGCGCCTGGTAGCGATCTGCCAACCATGGGTAGGACCATGAGTAGCTGTGGGCAGTGTACACCTCATCTGGTAGCTCAGAGCCCAGCCCTTGGCTTGCCCGCGTTCAGCTCGTGGCAAGCTTGTTGGGTTTGTCGAGCTTCACGGGCAGCCTCGATTTCGTCCCCAACAGCTCACAAGACGCAGAGTCTGGCTTCTGCTCTCACTGATGCGCCTGTAAACACCAGAGAGATCCTTGCCATAATTGATCCCGCCCTTAGTCTTAGTCATAGTCCCTGCAGCATCTAGACATCGCGACAACAAAAACAAAGAAACGAAGAACCGCACGACGGCAATCAGAATCTCAGGATTCACCGCCAGTATGGCATTGCCAGCCTGGCATGGCACGAATAGCCCATCAAAGCGGGACCACAGCGGACGCAAGGTCAAGTCTCCTCCGTGGCTGCTGCGTGCCAGTCCTTGCATATCAGGCTCAACTTTTCAGGCACTGGTCAACATCATCGAGTTCCGCCCAAATTGATATCAGTGATGGCTGTCGATGGCTTTTGGGCAGTTGCTCTGAAAGTTCTGCTTTCTTACATCGCAAAATAACAGTTCAAACATTGCGAAAGGCAACGAAAGGAGATCTTCCAGCGGACGCCCGGCGAAATCCAACAGTGTCTTTTGCTGTGACAGTCGTCTGGCAAGAGGGTTAGGATGCATCCAACCTCCGGAGAGGTATCTGACGGTTCGGGTACAAGACGAACTGTAACAAGCGAATGGATGCAAGTGTGTGTCTGTCTGTGTGTGTGTGTGTGTGTGTCTGTGCGTCTGTGTGTCTGCGTGTCTGTGTCTGTGTGTCTGTGTGTCTGTCTGTCTGTCTGCCTGTCTGTCTGTCTGTCTGCCTGTCTGTTTGTGTAGGCGTTGCTACATGGCAGTGACCACCCTGTGCCAACAATCAACCAGTATGAGCTTGAAATTGCGATTGTCTCGG